GTTGGGTCAGGACAGCTGGCCTCGGTCTCCCAGGCAGGGGTGTGTTGTGTGGGTCTGAGGAGCCCCAGGAACTGGCATTGTGTGGCCTACACAATGTGGACTCTGTGCTCATTCATGGGACAAACACATGACAAATGGGCTGTGAGCAGATCTGGGGCTTCCTGGATGTCTGGTGCTGAGCGTCTGGAATCTTCTGTGCATCTGGTTCTGGTCAAAGCGTCCTTACTGTTTGGCCTCGGAATCCTCTCCGATGGCCTCTGTTCTTGAACCTTCTCCTCCAGCCCCTCTTTGGAATGTATTTACAGCTCTGGGAGATCTGCTGGAGGAGGCCCCTCGAAGCTGTGCTCGGGCTGAGAGAGAACATGCAAACAGCTAGAGACAGGGATGCTGGGAGAGGCGGAAGCAGAGGCTTCTGGTAATGGGGCTCCAGCCAAAGCCTGCCCCAAGCAGCCTCCCCTGTCCTCCGCCACACACGTCTGCAGTGCTGCTGTGTGTCAGGCCTGGGTGCAGGTCACAGAGCTGACCTTGTCCAGACCCTGCTCTGTGCTCCCAGCAGAGGCCGAGTGAGAGCATTCATTAAGATGAGGGGTGCTATGGAGCCCTGATGATGTGCTCAGCTTGTGGAACACACGCTCACACAGCCCTGACTCCAGGCCAGAGATCAGCACCTCCCTCATCCCCATGTTACAGGCAGAGATCAGCAGGCCAACCAGAGAAATCACACACAGCAGGTAAACAGCAGGAGGCAGGATCCCACCCAGGCCTGTGCATTAGCTACACAGGAACGGCAACAGCTACAACAACAGTGACATCTAACTGTGAGGCCCAGGTCACACAGAAACCCTCCACTGGGCCTGCTGGGCGGGAGCTGGAGGTCACGTGATGGCCCCTCACGGGGTTGATGGGATGAAGCAGAACCTAAAGATTGCATCCTGGGTAAACTGAGGAGCGGCAGAAACCACATGCCAGGAAGGAGTGGAGGGATCAGAAGGCCACAGAAGTGAGTGGGAAATAGGAACTGGAAGTTTCCAGGAAGCCGCGTCCCACCCTTCTGCAGGAGGAGCTCTCAAGTGCCCCCCACACATAGCCCAGGCTCTGCCCTTGACTCTGCGCTGTGACTTGCTGACCCTTCAGCTCTCTGTGCCTTAACTTCCCCAAATATAAAGAGAGATGAAATCAGCACCTCCCTCCCTATAAAATGCTCAGAGCAGAACTTAGCACATAGTTCATGCTTCATACGTGACTATTAAATCAAAACCCTCACTAAGTATTTTACAAAGATACATAGGGACAGCATGAGTTCAAGGACACAGGTCCTTGCTGTTGGAGGTGGGGGGTGGGGAGAGGCATGGAGACAGGGGACATTGGGAGTGAGGAGACAATGTTACGTGTGGATGGGGCCCTGTGTAACCCTCCCTCCTTCCCTCCTTCCCTCCTTCCCTCCTTCCCTCCTTCCCTCCTTCCCTCCTTCCCTCCTTCCCTCCTTCCTTCCTTCCTTCCCACTTCCCTTTCCTTCCTTCTTTCTTTCTTTCTTTCTTTCTTTCTTTCTTTCTTTCTTTCTTTCTTTCTTTCTTCTTTTTTTCTTTCTTTCTTTCTTTCTTTCTTTCTTTCTTTCTTTCTTTTTTTTCTTTCTTTCTTTCTTTCCTTCCTTCCTTCCTTCCTTCCTTCCTTCTTTCCTTCCTTCCCACCCTCCTTCATTCCCTCCTTCTCCTCTTCTCTGCTTCCTTCCTTCCTTTCCTCCCTTCTTTCCTCCCCCCTTCCTTCCCTCTCTCTCTTCTTCCCTCCTTCCTTCTTTCCTCCCTTCCCTCCTTCCCTCCCTCCCTCCCTCCCACCCACCTTCCTTCCCACACACGTTCCCGTTCCCTAATTCCTTCCCACCTGCCCTCCCCCTTCTCTCCTTCCTTCCCTCATCGTCCACACGTCCACCCAGCACCTCTTCACGTGCTCCGCTCATGCACCTGGCTGCTCACTCACTGTGTGTCTTAGACCCACACTCTGCCAGGTTCTGTGTGTCTGCTGAGATACAGCACAGAGAGAAAGATGTGGGGCTGATCTCACCCTCAGACCTCACCGTCTATGAGACCCACCAGGACCTGTGTTGGCAGAGTGGTCAGGGAAAGGAGATGTGGATGCAGAAAACAAAGATGTGGAGCCCAGGCTGGGAAGGCCTGGGAACTGGAACATTCCAGACAGCAGACTCATCTTCGCATGCATTCCTCCATCTGTCAATCCGTCTGTCCATCTAACTGCATTCATTCATTCCTGCATTGACTCATTTGTTTGTTCCACGCGTGGTCTGCTTGACGAAAGCCTTGTTTGGAAGCTGCTCAGGTCTGAGTTCCGATCACAATTCCGCTGCCACGTGGTACTTGATCTTCCCAGGCCTCAGTTTCCTCATCTGTAGGACGGGGCTGTGCCAAAACAGGAACTAAGAGGAGGACCCGGTGGGACAGCGAGCATTTCTGGAATGTGGTGAATGTCCCATAAATGGCAGCTAGAGTCCCAGTCACCACCAGCCAGTAGCTTACAGTTTGTTCAGCTCGAGGGAGGGGAGTGCCTGGCCCTGGACCCCCACCCGCCAAGGCAGACCCCAGCCACACACCCAGGCTGCTCCATGAGCTCATTCAAGAAGCTGGACCCCTGAAACAGGATGTGCATAGGGCTATCCAGTCATACTGGTCCATTCTGACGCCGCCCTTCACAAATGCCGAGACACACCTCCCTGTCTCGGGCAGGCCTCCTGATGACCCCGTAGGCACTAACACCATCTTATTTCTTTATGCAAAGGCAACTGAAGTACAGAGAGACCGTTGGTTGTCCAAGGCCCTCCAGTAAGTGGCACCGCTCTGCCTGAGTCACAATGTCACCTTTCTCAAGGTGTCATTGGTGCTGAAGGATGGCGGCTTCCAGCAGGACCAGCTGGCCATCTGAGGCTTCCCCCGCAGGGGCAAGTGGTCAGCACTGTGCCATGCTTTGCAGTATCTGTTCCGACTGCCCGTCGCCATCAGATTTCCCAAAACAACCCGGCATTCTCTGGGTTCTGCATGGCTCCTGGCAGAGAATATCCAGAGCCTTTGGCAGGTCAAGCTCACTTGCTTGGAAATATCGGGTCCTGACTCGGCCTTGTCAGAATTCAGAGTCTTGGGTTCTTGCCCCAGGCCTGCCACTAACTTAGTGTATGCCCAGAATCAGCCAGCATCTCTGAGTTTCCACTGTCTCCCTTATGGTCATCAGATATCTCGTAGCACGGAACCAGTCTGTACTTGGTGCTCATCAAAGGGTCACCGAACGTGGATTAGCACCTAACACCTTGCATGACTCCTTTAATGACACCTGTTGATGGTGCTTGCTTCATGGGACTTATTCTGAAGACCAGCAAGTAAGTTCATGAGAAGGAAGCAAGGATTCACATTTACTAAGCAGTGTCCGTGTACCATAACCCCCCTCCTTGGCCACTTGACATGCATGATTTTTGTAAAGCCCCATATAGCAGTTAGGAGGCATTTGGCACCAAGGAATAAGATACCTAATTTCAGCGTGCTCAGTAAGTCACTGAGTTAATTCATGTGACAGAAAGCCTGGGGGTCGCTGTTCCAGGTCTGGTTTAGGAACGCCATAAAATCCCAAAGCCGCAGCCTCTTTTCCTCTTTCTGCTCTACCGTCCTCAGCACGCTGGCTTTTCATCCTCAAGCTTGTGCCTCATGTACTCAACAGGACTGCTGCAGCTCCAGCCATCAACTCCAGCCATCAACTGCACACAAGGTAAAAACAGAATGAGTACAGAATTTTCTCCTTCTAAGGGATTCAGTCTTTTCTAGGAGCCCCCAGCAGATGTTTCTTTATGTCTTACTGGCCAGAATCAGGACAGAGGCCAAATCAATAAATGGAAGGATCACCAGAGTCACCTCTTGAGGGGTCATGTCCATGGTCACAAACCTACACCACACTGAGCAGCCATGCATGCTCCACATCCCCTTGTAGAGGCTGCAGGAAAAGAGAAGAGAAGGAGTGACTTCTCTGGGAACCACAGGGATGGGACCTTGCTGGGGTGTGAGTGGGAACAGCAAGGCGGCCAGCATGGTCAAGTGTAGCACAGGGAGAGAGGACAGAGAAGTGTGCGGGGAGGTCTCAGATGCCTCACCAGGACTGGGGATTCTGCATAAATCAGTGGGCGGGCTCAGGGAGCCTGTAGCCTGGAGAGATTGGTTCAATTGGTTCAATTGGAAAGTTGGTTCAATTTTCCAGGGTTCACTCTGATGGCTCTGGGAAGCCATAGAGGACATAGAGGATGGGCATCGGGAGGGGAGGCTGGGAGCCAGTCAGGAGGCTGTTGCTGAGATCCCCATGAGGATGAGGCGGCTGGACAAGGGTAGACAGGGTCCCAGAGGAGACCCCTCACCTGTGTGGCAATGTCCAGCAGGGACCAGGCGAGGCACCCAAAACTGACAGTGATAACAAGTGCCCAGATGTGGGGAGACAGCTGTTAGCACCAAAAGGGCCTCTTGGGCTGGTGGTAGGGAGAGGCGACACCTGTAAATTGGCCACCATGGCTTCAGTTGGTTGTGGAGGGCTGATGAGAACCCAAGCCCCAGAGCTGAGATCATTTGAAAATTCCTATCATCTCTAGATGGCTGCTCTCAAAGCCATCCTCCTTCACTTGCAGCCAGGGAGAGAAGAGTGAATGATGGCAAATGAAAACCAGAAGTAGGAGCAGTCTGAAGAAATGGGAGGGAGTTCATTTCCCTCCGCTGGGAGCGCGTTCAAAGCCCCCCGCCCGCCCAGGGTAACAGTATCCCCACCTCCACCTTGCGCCCTCCCCGATTTCCCCCTCCCCAACTTTATGAAATAGCTGGGCAGGATGACCCCAGCTCCTTCTCTGAGAATTTACTGCCCCAGTGTGAAATCATAGCCCTGTAACTTTCCCTTTAAGAGCTGTCAGAGCGGGAGAGGCTGGCCAAGCTTGGGCTGGAGGTGGGGACAGAGGGAAGAAAGGGAAAAAAAAAAAAAAAAGGGAGAGAGGCAGGAAAAGTTTTTTCAGAGGAAAATGCAGGGTTTGTCCTTAACTCTGACGTCAGATCTTGCTTTAATAAAACCCCCACAGGGCTGTGGGAAGAGGCATATCTGCTGCTCCTGATGGGCTGGGCCAGTCTCTCGACCCAGCTCCCCGGAGAGGCGGCCGGATCCCTGGAGAGGCTGCTTGGTAGATGCCTTTGCCCCTGACTTCCAGGCATGAGGTGGTTCCTGCCCTGGACGCTGGCAGCAGTGACAGCAGCAGCCGCGGGCAGCGTCCCGGCCACGGTGAGTCCTGCCGGCAGGGGCTTGCAGAGGGGACCCAGATCCCTTTCTCCAGCCAGTTCTGCTACATGGGTGGGCAGATCAAGAGGGGCTGGAAGTGTGAGGGCAAGTGAAGCCCAGGGCGGGAGGAGGGGGACTGTGTGGGGTCGGCTGATCCTGGAGGAATGGGGAGAGGAATAAGCCCTCGGTGGGGGGACCAAGCAAACAGGTGGTCCATGCCCTTCTTTCCCCCCTGAAACTCAGAGGAAAGACACTTGTTGGAGCAGGAAGTCAGGGCCCTGGACTCCAGTCCCAGCTCTGCCCAGGTTGGCTGTGTGACCTTGGGCCAGTCACTCCTCCCCACACAGCACTAACTGAAGACTTTGGCAGGAGACTTGTGAAGTCTTAGGTCTGGAACTTGAGTCTCCAAGTGCTAGGGATACTACAGAGAGAGGAGTCAGAAAACACCCAGAGAGCCTGGGAAGGCAAATGCCAGCTTTCAACACAAGTGCCTCTCTTAAGCAAACATTGCCTGGGCGTGCTTTCCATCCCCAGCTGCTGGTGTCTCGGGCTGGCACAGCCCTCTACAGCTTAGGAAGCGTGTGCCTTGGGGCCCTGAACATGACACCTGCTGCTTCAAGGGATCCCGAGGTTTCTCTCTCCCTCCTCTCTCTAGCCCAGGGCACGCCAAAGGGAAAAGGGAGGGGTCTGCACCTCCAAGAGGCCAGGGGAGCAAGACGTGTGGTGGCACACAGCCAGCCTACTCGCGTGGGGATGGGGCAGACCCAGGGTGCAAAGGAGGTGGACAGCAGGGAAGAACAGAATCCAAGACCCTACAGCCCCGGGCCAATGCCTGCTGCCTGTAGTAGTGCCCAGAGGCAGCGAGAAGCTTTCATCACCAACTCCCCATGACGGTTTCCTTGGGGATCAATGCGCTCCATTTGTGGATGGGGGAGCTGAGGCTCAGGGGTAAAGGGACTCACCCACGGGCTCAAAGACATGGGTTCTGATTCAACCAGATCTGAGGCTAAGAGCTGGCCGCTGACCGCAGCCCGGTTGCCTCTGGACCTGGGGGTGAGGTGGGGGAGAGCTTCTTCCAAGCACTGTAGTAAGATTAAGGAAGGTAGGGAGTGTACCTGTGTGATTTGTTGTGAAATCCTTTGAGCCTTGTGTCCCCGCCCAGGATGGGTGCCAAGCCACGCTACAAAAAGAGATACTAACTTCACTTTATAAAAGAAAGAAATGGAAGCTCGGGGCCAGCAAGGGACTTACCCAGGGTCTCACAATGAGTAAGTGACCAGGGCTCCAACTTAGATCTTCCCCTGCCAAATCCCACTCTTGCTTCTAGAACTTTCCTAGCTGAGGGGAAACCGAGCATTTCCTACAGACTGCAGCAACCATGAGGAGCCATAGCAGCCTTTTTGGGGGGTTGCTATGGCTGGGAGGACAAGGGGTGGATGGAGGAGAGGTGAGACTGGTAGGGTAGCAGGAGTGTGAGTGAGTAGAAGCAAAGAAGTTGATGGCAGAGCCAAGTACCCTGGAGCCCATTACTTCCCATAGCAGGTAGTGCCGGGGGAGAGAGGGGTCCAGATCCACGGGCCCAGCCATGAGGCCATGTAGCCAGGGAGCCAAGAGCCCGGACAGATCCGGACAGCAGGCTGGAGGGGAGGTTCCTGGGAGGAGATCAGGCTCCTCTCTTCTGTGTAGCCAACCCTCACCCCAGAGGACATTCTCTGGGCCCCCAGCACGCCCCACCTTCACTGCATCCAGATTAAGGCGCTCCCAGCATGAGAGCTCTCAGAGCATCCTAACGTTCCCAGCAAGGGCTGGGAGACAGATGGCGACCAGGGCTTTGCTTTCTAGCCAAACTCCATATGTAGCTGTCCTCTGCTCACTAGTATATAATAGGAATGCAAGTTCCCTTAGGGGCCCAGTGGGGTTTTAATGGAAAAATGATTATAGAGGTTCATATGGAAGACAAGGTTTGTGGGAATTGCCAAGAAAACTTGAGGAAATAGCGTTCTGAGGGGAGACTTGCCCTATTGGATAGTGAATCTATGACTGAAGGAGCAAGATGCCAACCAGGGAGAGAAACGTTGAGGAGGACAGGGCAGTGCGCTCAGAAACTCAGCCAGTCAACTTGAGAACGTGATATCTGTGGTAAAGGTGACTACAGATACGACCGGTTTTCCCATCTCTTTGTTCTCTTCTTCCTCCTACGTGGAGAGTACCCAGCCTGTGCCACGAGAACGGGGCTACCTTTAGTGGGTGATCTCCCATGCCCTGCCAGGTGCTCCAGACCTTCCTTGAATCATCCAACAGCCATGGGCATTCATCAAACACCTGAAATCCTCATCGCAAAACCCTGGAGTGGATGTGATGACCCCTCTTTGTAGATGCCCAAACTGAAAGTCAGAGAGGGTCAGTTATTGGCCCAAGGTCGCACAGCTGGTGATCAGCAGAGCTGACTCTGAACCTAGGTCCCGTGCTTTGCCATGCGGCCGGCTGCCTTCCTGGTCCAGGTACTTGAGAGAAATGAGAGGCACAGAGTTTCTGCCCCTACAGAGGGTACGGGCTAGAGACGGGTGATAGCCACCATGCGTGGAGAAGTGAGGCAGCAGGGACGGAGTCATCCAGGAGGGAGAGGCTGGGTGCAGGCTCGGCCCCTAGTTGTGCCAGCTTCAGCAGGACCCTTAACTACTCCGGGCCTCTCTGTCTTCTCTTGTTAATCGGGGCTCACGACCTCGGTCCTACCCAGCTCCCTGCTGGGGCTGAGGAATGACCACAGGACTGCGTCAGGGAAGCTGCCCAGAAGCCTGGGACTGGGTGAACAAATTACTTGCCAGGAATTCCTAGGTACACATTGGGTCTGTGATAGTGTGCGGAGGAGACCCACGCCCCTTCTCCCCTGTGAATGTACGTGGGGATGGGCACAGGTGTGCACGTGCACGTGTGTCTGAGATTTCAGCTTGTCTGAGTGTACAAATCGGCCTGGTGTGTGTGAATACATATGGATGCGCATGTGGGGTATGGGGTGCACGCTCATTTTCCGCTCCTAGGACCAACCACCGGGCACTGCGGCCCAGGATGCGGCATGTCCCTTTTAAAAATGTGAGAACAGAAGTGACACGCCTTCTTTACATCGCTTGTCCATAACTTTGGACCCGAGCCAGCATTTCAAATCTGCCCCCCACCCCGGGCCCCTGCTTGGAGCCTCTTCCTGCAGCTTCGCTGCTCTGCTCACAGTGGCAGCCCCTCCCACTCGCCGCTTGTCTGGGCTGCTGGAGTGAGTGCAGCACGGGCAGGCATTTCCCACCTGGCACGGGGCTTGGCAGAGCCTCAGCATCTGGAATGGGGATGGGAGCAGTGCTCCTTGGAGAACCTGATCCTGGCCAGGGGCGGGGCAGTACCTCTGGCCCGTCAGCAGACTCACCACCCCCAGCATTTAGAAAAGGCCCCTGCCCCATGCCAGCAAAGCAGCCAAATGCCAGGAAGCAGCCTTTGGCTTTGTACAAGGATTTGTGCCCGGGGTTCCTCCCAGAAGCCTCAGCCATCTCTCTGGGCAGCTGGGAGGGGGCGCTCCACACATGGGTTTCTGTATGGGAGCAAGGAAAGTAAGACAGGAATGGCCCAGGCGGGGGTCCCAACAGGGGCTGGGAGCCTTGCCAACAACAGCCAGGAAAGCAAAGCAAGGAAGGAAGTTTTGAGCAAGAACCACAGAATGCTGCGAATATCTAAGAGCAAGGCTTCAGCACATGGTACATTCATTCAACACCTCTGGAGCTCCCCAGGTCTCAGAAACACTGATGATAATGAAAGCAATCACTCTGTAAATGCTCACAGTGTCCTACGCACCTGTATCTATCAGCTCACTTGAAAACCACACCCAAGAAGCAGGCAGCATCCTTCTCCCGCCACCGTCCAACGTGGCCACTCACTGTGTGAGGCCACCAAGTGCCAGAAATGTGGCTCATCCCATGTGAGATGGAGAACACGCATCAGATTTCAGACTCGGTATGAGCACAAGAACATGACATGCTCACTGTAAATTTTTCTATTGGCTCCATGTTGAAACAAGAACATTTTCAATACTTTGGGTTAAACAAATAGAATGTTAAACTTCCACTAGTTTCTTATTGGTTTTCAGTGCAGCTGCTAGAAAATATAAAATTCCATATATGGTTCATCTTGTGTTTTACTAGATACTGTTGGCCTGGGAAGACGCAATTGTGCATAGATGGATTTTAATAAGTGGAGAGAGGAAGATATAAAGTGCTCTAATCCCAGCACCTCCACCAAGCCAGTCTCTTTATCTGTGAAAAGATGTAATATTAGTACTTGTTTCCTTGGGTTACTGACAAGATTAAAGAATGAAACAGAGATAAAGCACACGAACCCCCAGCACATGCAAAGGGAGGTGGGGACATGATTCACATCCCAGCTTGAGAGGAAGCATTGGCCACCAACAAGTGCCAGGTCTGAACAAATGAGCAGAGGTTCAGAAAGACCCCAGACTCAGCAGCAGGTGGGCGAGAGGAGGGGCAGACTTACCTGTGGGCCGTATAGGGCTCAGGGCTGAGTTGGTCTCTTAAAGCTCCCAAGATTTCCCCATCCTGGCAAGCTTTCCAGTACAGTTTGAGGGAGTCAAGGAACATATTTGGATTATCATATAGGAGAGAGAAATACTAGTGGTGGCTGTGATGAGGAGGATGGAGCTGATTGATGGTGGTGCTGTGATGAAGGTGATGATGATGAAGTTGGGGATAATGATGGTGGTGGTGGTGATGGTGATGATAGTGGTAATATTGGTAGTGATGATGGTGATGATGGTAAAGATGGTGATTGATGATGGTGATGATGGTGAAGATGGTGATGATGGTGATGATGATGATGATGGTAACAGTGATGGTGTTGGTGATGATGGTGATGATGATGATGGTGATGGTGATGAATGTGATGATGGTGACGATGATGGTGATGGTGATGTTGACAGTGATGGTGTTGGTGATGATAGTGGTAATGAT